AGAAATCCTCTAGAAATCTGGATGTTTTTATTCCAGAAATCCTCTAGAAATCTGGATGTTTTTATTCCAGAAATCCTCTAGAAATCTGGATGTTTTTATTCCAGAAATCATCTAGAAATTCGGATGTTTTAATTCCAGAAATCATCTAAAAATGAAGATATTCTACATCCAGAAACTATCTAGAAATATGGATTTTTTTTAATCTATAAATTATCCAGCAATCTGGCTTTTTTAATCCAAAAACAAAATTTTATGGATTATTAGAGGCAGCTGTGCTTCGTCTTCAGCATATTTTGATTTAAAAAAAAACTCTAATTTTCTAGGAAATTAAAAGAATTAGTGTTGAAATATTTTACATCATAACCTGTTTTTGGAGCATCTGTTCGTATGCCTTTTCGTTTATTTTCTATGAAAATAGACAGCTAGATCTATGGCATTAATAGTGGATGATACTTATGTAAATAATCAACTTTCTCTAATTTTATTTTTAACTTTTTCGTCATTTATATGGTTACTTACATGAAATATTTTTTTAAAAAAATTAATAATTTATAACATTTTAAATGGATTTATAACATATTTTAGCATTTAAATACGTTTAAATGCGAATAAATATGTTGAAAAATTCATTTATTTTGAGTGAGAATTGAGTGGGATTTCAAGGTTCATATTTACCGCATGGTCCTGGCGATTAACTACAAAAAATTTGTACAGATTAATCAAAAGATTTAGAGATAAATAAATGATTAAAATCTGAGAGAAAAGGGTTATGTCGAGGTTTAATTGTAGCCTATATTTACCGCAGGAATATAAAGAGTAACTATGAAAAATTTGGTACAGTAATATCAAAGGATTTGATGTGTACCTATAGCAGACATGGAGCCATTCTACGATATACAATACATACTCAAAGTAAAAAAAAAAAGTTAAAAATTCATTTATTTTATTGGAAAAATTCATGTAAAATGTAAAATTTACGTTAGTTTTAAACAAAATCATCGAATTTCAGAATGGAATTGCATCGATTTTAAACGGTTACTACACGTCATTCTATTGAAAAACATAATAAAAAATTAAATCAAAATATCATCAAACGTCTACAATTTCTAAAGTTGAGAGAATGACAACATAATTTATAAATATAATTACTCTCAACCTGGTGTTCGCGAGCTGTGGATAAGCCGATCCACTAAATCCTTCTTATCGTTGTTAGTTGAGCCTAAACTAATTTTAGATATTTTATTTTTTCTCTTTTGAAAATTAAATTAATTAATTCTTTTATACATTTTAAATAATATTTTAAAATAAAAATCATAGAACTATTATTAAAAATTATATGTTAACATCATGAAAATCATCATAAGAATTAAATTAACGTATTGATAGATTCATAAGCATTGACAAAATAAGCAAGAGTTATATTAGTAAAATATGTATTTAAAATGTAAAATATCTTCATGTAAAGATTGTTCCACTAAAGTCTATATTCATACTTATTAGAGATTGATTCAGGGGAGGAGTGGGATGTCCAGATTTTATGATAGGCCTTATTTTTCCAAGGTCCTATAGAGTAAGTAGCAAGAATTTGATGCAGATAGGTTAGTGGATTTAGGAGTTATCAGAGGTTGATTCAAGAAAGGAATGGAGTGTTCAGGTTCTATGATAGGCTACATTTTTCCATAGTTTTATAGAGTGATCAGCCTAAAGGATGGAGTAAATAAAACAAGTTTGATTACGAGTAAAGCTTAGAAAGTATAGAAATAAATTGTAAGGAGTTCTATCTTAAATCTCCTAATAATTTTTATTTTATTATTGAAGTATTTAATAAAATATAAATTATTTATTATTTATATTATAAATTTGATATATAGTATATTTATTTGAAATCTTTCTAGCTTGCAACCAGCTTGCAATACAGCTTTAGACTTTGCCTACGCTTAAATACTCTTAAATTACGTTAAATTAAGCATGTTTTATTTAATTTTGATTAATTTTATTTAATTGTCATTAAAATTTTTAATTATTTTTTAATTTTATAAGCGCTTACAAGTGATAAAACGTGGAAGAAAGTGATGCAAAACTACCTTCAATTGTAGCAATTTTCATAAAAGAAATTCGTTGAAAAGAAAGAATTTAATTAATTTAGATTAAATTATGGCAATTTAAATTTTCATAATTTAATTTGATTAAACTTAAATTAATTATATTTAGTAAAATATATTCGTTTCTACTTATGCATGTAATTTATTATAGTTAATTTCCTCACCTCTATGAGGATTCTCTTCTTATTCGCGATTAGTGCAAATAAATGACGATTATAATGATTAAATTGGAATTATTATTATTGTAATTATAATTAGAATGATGTAACTTGAATAATTCACGTATTTTTTAGCGTAACTGAAGAGCTAAATGGATAATAATGCTATGCAACATTGATCTCTAAACAGTATGTAGATGCGGATAACTGTTTTATGGAATCATAAACACTATATAAGTGATTTAAATGGTTATTTCTATTGTTTATGACGATAATAATTTATAAATTTGTGAATTAAGTGGTTAACTGATTAAAAAATGTGCATAAACCACTTTAAAAATGCATTCATTATCTATCCTCTTTAATTCCACTCTCTAGCATCAGTTTAAAGAATACCAATCAAGTATTACTTTTAATATTCATTAATTCAAATAATAAAAATATATATAATAAATGTGATTAAAATATCATTTAAAAGTTTAATTTAGATTTTATAGCATTTTATATGGTTCATGGAACCAGGATTTGTTGTGGCCTTAAGCTATAGCATATAACAGGTTCTTTACCTCCATCAAATAATGGCGCATAGAAAAATGTAAGGCCCTAGTTACAGCTTACTTAATTTATATACAGAACATAAAACGTATAAAGAAAGGGGATGGTGATAAATCAAAAGTATCATATAAGAAAAGGGTATAGATAAACCCAAAAGGCCTTAGTCCACGTGATACCTCCACGGCTCTGACAATAAACATACAACAAAAATATTAGTAATGAGCGGTAAGCTGATGCTCCCTAAGTAGACGACGTCCTCTGCCATAGCCGATTATGCCCATTAATACGGGCCTTAGTGAATTGACCCCAAAATTTATCTTCTTTTTTTATATATAAGTTCAAAATGCATTATGTTTTTTATGTACTGGCCAAAAATACATTTTCTCTATAATATACCGGCCAAAAAATGTATTCTTTTCATAGTATATTTATCAAAAATTAATATTTACGACTTCGCAAGCGCTTCTCCAGAGCATCTCTCATTAAAGATGCTCTGGAGAAGATGCTCTGGAATAAATATGTTGAAAAATTCATTTATTTTGAGTGAGAATTGAGTGGGATTTCAAGGTTCATATTTACCGCATGGTCCTGGCGATTAACTACAAAAAATTTGTACAGATTAATCAAAAGATTTAGAGATAAATAAATGATTAAAATCTGAGAGAAAAGGGTTATGTCGAGGTTTAATTGTAGCCTATATTTACCGCAGGAATATAAAGAGTAACTATGAAAAATTTGGTACAGTAATATCAAAGGATTTGATGTGTACCTATAGCAGACATGGAGCCATTCTACGATATACAATACATACTCAAAGTAAAAAAAAAAAGTTAANATTAAGGAACTGAGCTGATACATAACTTAAAATCCTTTTAATTTAATTATCATTAATGTTTTTAATTATTTTTAATTGATTGATAGGTGGTTGGATATAAAAATAAAATTTTGGAAGATGATAAAGTAAGTAGGAACCACTCAAAATGCCGCTTATTAACTTGTAACTGAAGCATCTTCTGTGCAATTTCTAGTCATAAATCACGCTTACGTCAAATTTTTTCTCAATTCGTTCCGTCTTTCAATTCACTAAAAACGTTATTTAAAAAAAGGCGTTATAACGAATTAATAAACAAATAATTTCTATATTTACAAGTCAAATTCGATATAAAATTATGTCTGGGGCGTAAATTTTGTCTTAGAGATTTACATAATCGTTCTTTAAAAATATATGGCGATGGAAACAAGATGCTGACATTTTACTTTTTTTCTTTTCTTTCTGAAAAAACACGTATTAAGCTATTATCTTTTTTCCTATTCAGCTTTATAAATCACGTGAATGGGTAGTGGACGAATCAAAAGTAACGAAACGTGTGAAGCATTTTAAGAGTTAAAAAACACTTTCAAAAAATCGAAATTTCGTTTTTTTTCAGCTTAGATAAAGGAAATTTTAAACCTCGCTTGCCTTTTGAATACAATTTTAGCATCTTTCTTCCCTTTCGATCGACTTTAAATCTCAAAAATAAAACAGAATATATATATTTTTTTACATTTTAAACACTCGCAAATTGTACATAAAGGCAAATATTTTACATCGGCACCTTCTCTACTGTATAAATCATTAGCAGCATCCTTCTGCTCTCCGTTATCACTAGGATTTACATTCTCATCCGCATCCTTGTAAGCCGCACTAAATTGTTAGAAAGGGGGATTGTAAAGTATACGAAACGACAATCTTTGTAAATATCTTAACGCCAACCGCATTCTTCTTTAACACGATACTTAAATATGTAATCTCTTCTGGGTACCAAGTTAAATTCCACAGAGTGATTGTGTCCATATTTATCTTCCGACGTTGCAAACGAGATTGGAGAAAGAAAAGGCCATTGAAGGACGGTCACCATGACAACACCAATCACAGCTAAACGCAAAACGTGTAGATGTGAGGAACGTTCGACGGTTTATCGCGAAATATATCGCGCGTGACGCCAAGTTGTCACCCTGCCAAACACTCCTTTGCATGACCATTGGACGATAAATAAGAATATTTTCTACCCCTTCTTCCCCCTTTTCGATCAACATATGATACCAAAATTCAAGAGCCCGTTTCTCCCTTTGCAACAGATAAGAGGAGGGTGAGAATTGAAACAGTTGCTCTACCCATACTCTAGCAGGTATTGTCTTCCTTTTTTTCCCCTATGTTTAACGCTGTATTTATGTATATAATGTAATTATAGAGTGTTTCTTTTCGTAGTTTTGCACCCCTTCTATAGAAATTTCTATTGTTTTTTTATCTTTTTTATCTTCTAAAATCGCGAAACGTAATTCGGAATCATATCTTTCCTGCCAATGATCCATCATTCTCGGTCGGTGGTCTTGAATCCAGTAGCAGATTTCTTCTTACGCTTCACCTGATACCTGATAAGGATCATTAAATGTCTCAAACTGTCTTCTTAGTGTCCCGAGGCTTAGCACGATACAATAGCACAGTCAAGATGAGAGACGGGTGCAACTAGACACTTGACAAACCTACAGAAAGTATATTTTTATACGCTCTAAACAGTTGTAAAATTGTACAGAAAGGTGAATAACTTACATCGACACCTTTTCTAGTGCATAAATTATTATCATCATTCTTCTGCTCTCCGTTATCACTAGGATCCTCATCCGCATCCTTGTAAGCTGTGTTAAATTCTAGACGATTTACTTGTTCGTCTACAACTTTTTAGTACTTCTAAACGCAAAAAATAAACGTGTTTATATATATATATATATATATTTACAAGTTTATAGAGTTTGAGCTCTAAATAATTGATTCATCATCAATTTTCTTCATAGAAATATCCATTTTAAGACTTAAAATAACTATGGATACAAGCCCTAAAATCGATTTAAAATGAAAAAAAAAGTCACATAAAAGTGTAAAATTATTAAAAATTTTAAACTTTTCTATAATTTTAAGTATTTTTCTACGTCTTATTATTGTTGTGTAGAAGGATAGAAGGGCCGATACTTGTGTAAAATCAGTGTAAAGTATAAGAAGTATGAGGCTCGGAAGTATAGAAGAAATGAATCAAACCGATGTCAACACGTGGTATATTGGGTGGCGAGGGATATTTTCTCACAACGGTTAGTCTCGGTGGGGTGCTAGACGAAGCAGTGCAAACAAATGGCCATCGTTTCCCCCTCCATCCGATTGCTTCCATTATAACTAAACACTGTGTTCCTCTCCCTAGACTACTTGACAGACCCGTGATTACTTTATCCACTGCCTCTTTCTACTCACCCTCAACACCGATTACCATCGCCTACTCACCCCATAATAGCGCTAGATAATCTGCACTCCCCTTTTAATCTTTTGTAGCTATTCTATGAATTACATATTGTACTTCTAGCTTTAGACTTTGTGTTGTAGGCAGGATTCTTAGCTTAAAATCTCTACTTCAGTTTTAAACACATAAAAAAAACTCCCTGTAAAATTTATCTATAAACGTTTACGTGTATTTATATAAAATATATGTCTATGGGCCCAATTTAGTTTTAAAATGCAAAATTTACTTATAAATTCGGTTTAATTTTCAGTCTAAATAATTGAAAAACTTCGCTTTCGTGCTCATCCTACAAGTTCCTTAATATTAGAACCTCGGATAATAATCTTAATGTGTGATAAAGTGACGGTTTGTGTAGTATTTTATGTAATTTTAAGATGATTTTAATGCTTAAAATATCATTATTTGTCATCCTAAACGTGTATTTATCATTATAAATCTGCCATTCTCTCCTGGTCTCTCTCTACATAATCCCTCCTATGTGCTTTCCTCTAATAAGGAATAGAAGTGTATAGAGTTTTATACAATTCACAGACGATTTTTTCTACTTAAAATGTCACTATTTATCATCTATGCGTCTTCTAAACACATATTCATCATCATAAATCTGCCATTTTCTACTGTTGCTCTGTGTATTATTTATTCTTACGTTCTTCCTATAAGAAAGAATGAATGTTTATATAATGTTTTGCAAATTAATAAATTAATTTCGATGCTTACATCATCATTTTTCATCATCCTTAAGCTTCTTAAATGCATATTTATCATCATAAAATTGCCATTCTCCTCTATCGTTCTTCATTTCTTCTTATCCTAACTCTATGTAAATAAACGGTCTTAATAATTAATTCTACACAAAACATTTAAAATTTGAAATATAATTATTAAAAAATACATATTTAATTCATTAAATATTCCATAAATTTAATTTAATTTCAAATATTAAGTCTTTAATACCGTACGAAGACAATGTAAGGTGACCTTCAAATAGGCCTATATACTTTAAAACAAATTTTTTTCTTTGAATAATTATTAAATTATGTTAAAAATAATTAAATTCGGCATTAAAATATAATTATAATTATTTTGTTAAATGATAATTAAATCGAGAAATTCAAAAGTTTAATTGAGTTGCGAGTCACGAACTCACGATTATTTGAATTGTTTTTTCATTGTGTTTTACACGCTTCCTATTAAAGTCACGTAAACATTTTAATATCTTATTTAAAAAATATTTAATTTTTGTTAATATTGTATTTTAAAGCAGTTTTTGTTAAATAATTTCAATTTTTAGTGAGCAAATTAACGCTCTTTCAAGCTTACTTCTTCTAACTATTTAGCATAATAAGCGCCTAAAACCACTAATTACAATTAAACGAACAATAAATAATCGAAATTGATTAAAATTAATTAAATGAGAAGATGTTAGAATATTAAATTACCCATTTATTATTAAATAATTTAATTTTTTAACACTCAAATTAACGTTCTTTCAAGCTTAATGCCTCTAACTATCACGCATCTACAAACCACTAATTACGATCAAAAGGCCAATAAATAATCGAAATTGATTAGAATTAATTAAATGGGGGAGGCACCAAAACATTAAATTAAGCATTTTAAAGACAATAGAGGTGCCATTTTATAGCATGAGTCACGAGTACAAGTCATCTTCTTCTCCAACATCATTTCCATATCTGAATGGATAATCTGATCACACGATCTAAGCCAAGCTAGGGACATAACTATTGTCCACAAAACCATCTAATTACGTAGCTTCGGGCGTCCAAAATTAGCCTTCTGCTTCTATACCTCCTACCAGCTGCCACAACCTATAGAGAGAAGTAAACATCTCTGCACGCTTGATAGACAAGAGCTTTCAAACCTGCTCCTAGCAATACTCTCCTCTCACGCTGTCAAACAAGTTAACTACCGTCTACAACAGGTTCTTTTCTCTTTTTTTTATATATTTTCTAGCAATTATATAGCATTTTTAAGATAATTAATTGTTTTTTAAGGTCCTTAAACCGTCCAAAAACCTTCGAAAAGTCGGCACTTATGATGATAACTGTGATATCTCTCGTACAGTTTCCATGCTCACAGGCACAATTCCTACTCTGTGTGGTCCTTTCATTCGTAATCTAGAGATAAGGGGGTTTAGTTTACTGTTTTAATTAATCTTCTGTCGTTAGTTAGCCTTTAAATTATGGAGCCAAAACGACCTTTACTTATAGCTGAGATAAACGCTAAAAATAACTATTTTCTGGCTAATTTTAACCAATAATTCGGTTTCTAGTTTGAATTTTCAGCCCATCTTCCCGAAATTTTAGTAAAAGATCACTTTTTTCGGTGGAAAATTTCGCTTAAATTCATCATCCAAACCCAATAGAACGTCCTCTAAAGTCTGTGTTTTCTGATGCAATTTAGCTTAAAAATAAGGAAAAAAATTGTTTATAAGAAAAATTATATGAAATTTGTTTTGATTTTTTAACTTTTAACTTAAATTTTATCGATAATTTCATTTTAAAATCCTTTAAATTAATTAATTTTATTATTAAATCGACAGGATATTCAGACATTTACTTCGCTACTTCCATAGAAAAGTGTGATGTTTCATCCATAATTTTACTAGTTTTTTCGTATTTTAAGTAAAAAATAAATGCTTAAAATTATATTAAAATTAATTAATAAAACTCTTAAAAAATTCTAGAACATAAAAATAATAAAATATACAGCATTTAATTAGAGTAAAATTATGATGAATTATCATTAATTTATCATTAATTAGAAGCAACATTCTATGGGAAAAATTAAGATAAATAAATTGAAAATTATTTTAATATATTTTAACATAATATAATTCAAATTAATTTATAAAATTTCCAAAATAATTGATTTATTTAATCAAAATTAAGGCAAGTTTGAGAAACAATGAAGAGTTTTTCTATAAAATTAATTAAATTATTCAAATAAGAAATGTTTTATTCGTTGTTAAAGCTTCATATTTTTGTCACGTGGCCTAAAAATGACCATATTTTAGGCCAAAATTATGGTCTAAAATATTTGATAATTTCATAATTTAAGGAGATTTCTACAATTACGTCGGATGAAAATCTTCAGTTTAATTTAAAAAATTGAAATAAAATCATTAAAATTTAATTAATTAATCATAATTTAAGTTAGAATTAAACTTAATGATGTGTGTTTTAAGAGTATTATTTATTATTTATGGATATTTTCCACTTTATAAGGCATAAACAGCAATCATTCAACAGCTTGATTTACGCTTGACAAAAGATAATTTCTATAATTTAACTCGAAAAAATTGCCTTTTAAATCATTAGAATAGTTCAAAGAATGCCGCAAAATGTTTATTTTTCACTTAAATAAGGTTTAAAGTTGAAAAAAATCCTTAAAATCTTTTGATGATGTCGACAAGAATCATTCTATTTTGATCCATTTGCGTTAAGTTCAGGCAAGGAGTAGCCTATGTTGAATAGGGAATTGTTTGGATTTGAGAGTGAATGGAAGCATCCGAAATTTAACAATTGGATCCTTTCCAATTGGCTCCTATAATTCTTCCCAAATATTTTACTATAATTCACTTAGACAAATGATAAAGAATGTTCCTGACTTCACTTTTTGATGAATTAAGAACGTCATTTCTTAACAAAAAAAATGTTACTTTTTAGGTTTTAACAACAAAAGTAATTTAAAAATACTTTATTTTCAATAATAAAACAATTTATTTTAATTGCTAACATTTATTTAGTTATAAAATAACGTCAACATTCCTTAACATCAGCATCCTTTTCCTCATCCGCATCACTTAATTAATTTGTGTTGTTGTTGTTCTTACTTAAATTTACTTCTAAATTTAAAATTAAAAAAAAAATAAATTTAAAATTAATTAAATAAAATATTTAAAGTGTCTTTTAAGTATAAATATTGTAAATTGTGAGTCAAAATTTTGTGCTTTTACTGCTTAAACTTTCGATATTTTCGACTTTTCTGTGATAATTAAAGTGATTTTTTGATAGAAATTCATAAAATTAATATATTTTAAATGTAAAATTAATGTTGGTAAGATGTAAAATTTGTTTTTCTTTAAGAAATTTAATAATTTGTCTCTTAAAAAATGCTTTTTTTCCACGTTTTTTATGTCATATTTCTAGGTAATCTATTTTACTCGAGACTATTATTGTCAATGTTTTTTACATCAATTTTTTTAGAGTTTATATATAGTACCTTAGAAAATACATTACATTCTTATAGAAGTTACTCTATTCTACTATTAATTTATTCAAAAAACTCATATAAAATCAATAAATTTCTGGAAAAGAAAAATCGAGATTCTTCTGCTTGTTTTTCGATTTTTTTCCACGTTTAATACGTTTTAAACCCAAAAATTATATATTTTTAATGATTAAAGATCATTTAGATGGCTAAAAAATGACGTTTTTAAAAGTTTTAAAGTTAAATTTTATCATTTTTACAACAAAAAATGCTATTATATCTCTAGTTTCCGGCTTTTTTACGCGTGTGATAAAAATTGAAATTATTCATCTTTAATGGCTAAAAAACAAATAAAAAACTTAAAAATATCTATTTTTTATAGTTTTGCATCGGAATTTCTATACAATTTAGCGAAATTTATCCAAAAAAGGGGGGCCTCACACCCGTATAACCTAGGTATTTCTACACGTATTTAACGCGTAATAAAGGCGTTTAAACACGTATTTACATTAAAATTATATACGCCTAACGTAACTAACGTAAAAAAGCACAGTTCTAAACACATTTTAAGCAAGATTTAACGATTTTTATGCGAATAAACACACCAAAATCCTCCATACCGCTGCTTGTAAGACGGAAGCCATATTTGGAATGTTGCGCGTGTGTAATTATATTTATATATATAAATAAAAATACATAAATTTTTTTCCCTTTTATCCAAACTAAATATTTTGTAAGAAACTTTGCCACAGATCACGTTACTGAGTACGAAGCATCACGAGAATCGTTGCACGTGCGTGTGGTAATTAAAGGACATCCCTAGAGTCACAAAGTCAATGTTTTTTTCTTCGTTCTTCGTTCTTACCTAACGGAAAAAGGGGGGTGGAAAAGAGAAAGAGGAGAGGAAAAACCCAAGTATAGATCCATGTAACATGAACATGAGACGCATTAAGGTTCCTCAACGTTTGTTTACTGTACGGGGTTAGAAAGAGAGCGCGTGGGTTGCATAGGAAAACTTCGGTCTGCAGCATCCAAACATCATTAAGTAACCCGATGTTCTTGATGACTGTCTATGTTTGGAAATTACAAGTAAGGATATTACTCGATTAAATTACCTTCCCCCCAGGTAGAAATTTATTCTAGACACCTGGAATTATCTCCGTTTTAGTGATAACAGTAATAACCACATCGACAGTAGAAAAGGTGGATCTTCTCTTCAAAAATAATCGATTTTTAAAGCTTAAACTTGCCCGAATCGAGAGGAAATTTGCAATTCCAAGCTTCTTTTCTACTGTTTTTTTTTTGTATTTTTAATTTTTTTTGTTGTTGTTGTTATGATGTTAACACGTAAGAGTTAATGGAAGAGAGAGTGATTAACGAAGAAATTCTAAAAGAAATTCTTTAAAATATTAATTATATGGACTAAAATAGGAGTAAATTGAGTTTAAAAGTTGAAATTATCGCTTCGATAATTAATATTTTAGTGATTTTAACGTCGAATCGTCAGCATCACTGGAAGAGAGAGAGAGAAAGACAGAGAGAGGGATGTTTAACAGAGGAATTCGCACAGAAAACGTTAAGAA